GTCTGCGGGCTGGATAAAATTTGTTGTCGGGACGTATGCACCCCGTGGGCCGTCATTTGGTGACCCATGCTCTAGACCAGGGGTCGGCAATAGGCGGCCCGCGGGCCATGTCCGGCCCGCGGAAGGGAAATAACTGGACCGCCAAAAATTATCTTAATTTTCCCATATATCCTATGTATCACTCCCCCTCCGTTCATAACAAAAATTAAACCAATATTGAAATCGATTTCATTAGGCGGTGAGACAATAATAACGGTTTATAATTATCTGTATTCTGTGTTGTTGTTGAACGTGCCACAGTCACGGCTGCGGGCCGAGTCGCTTGCATTCGCGCGCGCGCGCATGTGTGTGTGTGTGTGTAAAATACAATATTCAGAGGCGATCTATTTTTATGATTTATTAGGAAATTACGATAGCGTTCATCGTATACCGCTGTTTATAATAATAGTCACGATAACAGAACACCATACATTGAACCTACTTCTTGAAACACAAATATTATTTAGTTCAATTTACGCGTTGCGTTTGTCGTTCGTCGTTCGTCAAGAAATTATTATAAATATTCGTATTCGTAGTCCGTCGCGTCTGTAGTGTTAAAACTTATTAATTTATAAATATTATTCGTGTATAATCGAGTATGTTTTCCAAAAAACGTAAAGTTGACAATGAAAACAGAAAGTTTCTGGCTGAGTGGACCGAACAATATTGTTTTACACTTCCAGTAAGAGCTGGAGCCGTTCCAGTTTGTCTTATATGTAACAGTACAGTTGCTGTCGTTAAATGTGCTAATTTAAAGCGTCATTATGATACAATGCATAAAGATTTTGAAAAAAAATTTCCTCTTAACAGTGCAGCGCGTAAAAATAAACTCCAAGCGTATCTCTTGTCTTATAAAAATAGTACGACTATGTTAGTACAAAGTATGACTAGGCAAGAAAAGTCAGTAGAAGCAGCATTGCGTGTTTGCTGGACGTTAAATAAACACCAAAAACCATTTACAGACTCAGAAATTGTAAAAGAGTGTATGTTGGAAGTAGCCACTGCACTTTTTGAAGAAAAAAAGGACATAATTAATGCTATTCAAAGTATTCCTCTATCAGCAAGAAGCAATACAAGAAGAACAGAACTATTGGCCGATGACAACAAAAATAATTTAATTCACATTTTACAGATGGCTCCTTGCTACGCTATTGCAATTGATGAGTCATGTGATATTGTTGATTCTGAGCAAATTTCAATTTTTGTGCGCTTTTTAGACGTTGAAAGTAGAGTATTTAGAGACGAGTTGCTAGCATTATTGCCATTGAAATGCAAGACTCGTGGAGAAGATTTGTTTAAAACTTTTGACGACTTCATGACTAAATCAAATATTAGTTATGATAAAATTGTGTCTATTTCAACTGATGGCGCACCGGCAATGATTGGTAAAGAAAAGGGATTTGTTAAGAGAATCAAGGATAAGAATGCTGAAATACTTTCATATCAATGTATAATTCATCAAACATCCCTGTGTGGCAAACTTAGTACAACACTGAAGGAAGTAATGGACATAATGATCAAGTTGATTAATTTTTTGAGGTCCCGATCTGCTCTTCAGCACAGGCAGTTTAAAGATTTTTTATTTGAATGTGATTCAGTGTATTCGGATTTACTTCAATATAACAATGTCCGTTGGTTAAGTAAAGGCAAAGTGATCGAACGTTTTTGGAGTATAAAAGAAGAAGTTATCACGTTCTTGGTAAACTTGGATTCAGTAGAATCAAAGCAGTATCATAAATTCTTAACAAATGAGAGCAATATGCTATCTGTGGCGTTTTTAAAAGACATTCTTGGATATTTAAATGTACTTAATACTGAGTTACAAGGGCAAAAAAAGTTAATTTGTGATCTGATATCAAGTGTATCTGCTTTCCGACGAAAACTTGAAATCTTTGAAGAAGATATAAAAAATCAAGATTTTATTCATTTTCCAACAATCCTAGAATATAAAAAGACTCCCGACATAGACTGCAGTATGTTTTTAAGTTTTTTGTCAGACCTTGGTGAAGAATTTCGTAAGAGATTCAAAGACTTTGCAGAAATTGGAAAACTGTCTCAATTTTTAAAAAATCCGTTTGAAGTTTCTCCGACTGGAGAATGGATTGACGTTGCTACAAAATTATTTAAACTTCCAAAATCTTCACTTCAAATTGAAATTATTGATTTGCAAGAAGATATCTCATTGCAAATGTATAAAACTTCGTCCACTGAAGATTTTTGGATAAAGCATGTCTTGGATAAATACATGAACTGTAAAACCCTTGCCATAAAATTAGCTACTATGTTTGGCTCTACTTATGTATGTGAAACTTCGTTTTCAAAAATGACGTTTTTAAAAAACCGATACCGTTCAAGATTAACAGATCACCACCTTGAAAACACTTTACGCATCAGTTGTTCTCCAAGAGTACCAGATTTTAAAAAACTAGCTCAAGAAAAGAAATGTCATTTTTCTCATTAATACAATTTTGTTATTATTAGTATGAATGTATAATTACTTTATAAATAATTAAATACTTTGTCTTAAAATGTGTTTTTAATACAAAAATAAATACATTAATGATAAAATTAAGTTTAAGATTTTTTTGGCCCTCGAAATTTTTTTTTTTTAAATATTTGGACCGCCATATAAATTAATTGCCGACCCCTGCTCTAGACCGTGGAAAATGTATGAGTTGAACGATATAAGAAAAAAAGTACGCGAAAAAAAAAAGTATCTCAGAAAAAAGTATTATATTATAAAAGTAAATATAAAAATATTATATAAATATTGATAGTAAAAAATTAATCAAAAGTTCGTTTTCTTATATTATTAATTATATTTAATAAACACTATCGCAAAATAATTTCGTTTTTATTTAAACGAACACGCAATGCTTTTAAACGACATTGCATTTATTCATATATATATATATTTTTTTTTTTACTTACATGTTCACCAGTTTCACTTAAAGCTAATCGTGCTTTATAGTGGTGCTTTTAATTAATTTATTAGCCAAAAACAGTTCATTAATTTTGATATGCCTAGGTATCATGGGAAAATATTGACATTACGAATATGATGTATCGAAACATATGAACGAACAATAGGTATACCACATACCACATACCATACACCACGTATTAACTATAAATAATTTTGATTTAATTTCATGTATACTATTGAGAAAAAGAATTATTTGAAATTAATTTTAATTTATATAATATTTATTAATAAATCCTGTTTTGATTTTTTTTTCTTACGTAATAAACACGCAATCAGATACATTTTTGTTCCGGTTCTTTTTTTCCGGGTATTTTTTTATTCGGATAATTATTTTCCAAATACCAAGTTGTCCCCTCTTAAAAAAAAAAAAAAAAATGAACAAAAAAAAAAATGCCGCTGGTAGACACTGTACCTCTGCCCACAGAACCTTCTAGATCTTCTACGGGACCGCTACAACCTTTCAGGACCCGTAAGTGCACGCAGTCGTGACCCCCGGGGTCCCTCGGACCGTTCTGCGTTCGGTTCCGACTCGATCCCGTTTTCCAACTGACCACCATTCGCTCTTTTTCCTACCCCCGGTGGATTGTGTACCGTATATGTAAACTAACTTTCGGCGCACTTGTGCGACCGATGTCCGAGATCGCGGAGCGCGTTGCGCAGTGACAGACCAAATGCGTTTCATGATAATTTTTCTTTATTTTTGCACAAATATAATTGTATGTCGAGGAAATATGTTTACATGTCGAAACAATAAAATCTTACGTGCTAGCAAAATCCTTAGTAAACTCGTACTCTGTTTACTATTTATTTATTTATATATATATATATGTATGTATAAAGTATAATATGGTTTATATGTATATACATACGATTAACTAATAAATGAAGTTCGGGTACACATAATGCGTAGATAATTGAAAAAAATATGTACACGTTATTATCGAAATAGTTGTTGAACCACAATGTTTAAGTAATACGCTATGTACAATAATAATACGACGGTATACAATTTAACTGTAAATCACAAAACATATAATTACCGTTAGTGTCTAGTAAACTAAATAAAAATGAAATAAAAAAATAATACAAAATCATAATATCCATAATATCGTAGTCATCGTAATATTATTATCAGTTACATATAATCTACACACCCTATTGCCGCGGTTAGGTAATGCGATCGCAGTGAAACCTAATTGTAAAGGTCGCCCGAATTACGTTATTTATACAGCTAGACGTGACGTCAATGGATTAAGTAACGGTGATGACGCACGGATCGATTTCAAAAGAAAACACAAGTCAACAACAATTAAATGCTCCTCACGATTAAAAGTAAGTATTTACAACAAATAAAAGTAATGATAAAAGGATAAAGTGTTGTGTATTCAAATATTAAACTAAGTCTTAAAATATTGTAAATAGGTAAACGCTAGATTTAAGCAATATTCCAATTGTAAACGAAGAAAGTTATATATTTTTTTTTTTTTTACGCTTTTATTCTTATAGATTTAAATTATTGATTTAATAACGTTAAAAAATGCACGCAAATCTGTACCTACAAGATGATACTATACTTATTATAATAATGATAATAATAATAATAATAATAATAATAATAATAATAATAATAATGATAATAATAATTATATGTCTGTACGACAGAAGACAACGAAATTAATAAATTAAGATTGATGGATAACGACGGTCGCGTTAGAAAATGCATTATTTATGGGGCGTCACATCGTCGTCGTCCAATGTCATAGCGATCGAGAGGGAAACTTTCATCGATATATAATCTATACAATGTTACATATGTTAAAATATTTTGCACACGGGTAAGGTTATTTACCTTTCAGTTTTTACAATACAAACATAGAACACGATAACTTTTTTTTCATTTTTACACAAGTCGTTAAATATTACACTTTAATTTTCGGACTAGTAAACTTAGGAACATTCATCAAATGTATTAATGTATAATGTGTAATAAATGTTTATTATAATAAAAATGTATAGAAAAAAAAAAACAGAGACACTCGTAGTGTTAAGTACACGATAAAACTTCGTATCAAATTTCATAAATTATTCTATTTTTTATTTAATCAGTATTGTTCTTTAACACTCACCGCAGCAGATATTTTACTTCGAAATTGTGCACATAATCTACGTATGGTCTAAAACGCGTATGTACGTATTCAATTTAACTATGGGGTTTTTTTTTTTTATATATACATGAGTATCATACTTATCGTTTTATACATATATGTACATATATATGAGGTCGAAAAAAAAACTATTTTTATAAGCCGTACAGCGTTCGCACTCGCGTTCAAAAGCGTTAAGTAACAATTTTATAATCCGATGCCAGGTGGAGATGAAAAAAAAAAAAATTTAAAAAAAAAACACATCAACTGGCAATGTGGTAGACGAAATGAAAAATAGTACAATTACTTAAAATCTAGCAAAAACTGTACCACGATTTGGCATGGTTCGATATACCCAGGGATATGCATGATACTTTTACCGTACAATAATGATTTTTTATTCGAAACATAAATATTAATAGTAAAACACACGACGCTAATAATAATTATAGTATTAAATATTACATAAATAAATATAAATCAATGTCAAACTATGGAATTCGCTAACCTACGGCATTATATTGCCTATTCATAATAATAATAGTAATAAACAATGATACCAACACAAAACAGATATTTCGAATATTTGGTCGCAATGTTAAAACATTAATGTATATAGGTTGGTTAATCGCATTCGTTTTGCTATTCAACGTTGTTCGGTTATTGTTATCACCTACTACTTTACGATTTCGATTTCGACCGTTATATGGTTTATTTGGACAGCACCGCGACGGTACTGATCGTTTTTTACGACGGGCAAATCGTCGTTTCGGCGATCGACTGCAGTTTTCATTCGACAGATACGAACGACACAAATCACGGGACTCGCGCGATACAACAATAATATATTTAACAATAAAAAATTTGGGTTTTTTTCAAATCTCATTTCAAGTCGTACGAAAAAAAAAAAAAAAAAGGAAAAAATACCCAAAGGTAGGAATATAAAAAACGTCAATCGACCGTGGGATTTATGAAACCTGGAAGGAAAAACAATAATAATCGAATAAAACGGTACGTTATTAACTATTTGAATACGGATTGGAGCACCAGGGCGCGAGATAAAAACCGTAGACGATCAACTATTCGAATACTAGCTTTGTAAATAATAATAATAAAAATAACATAAAACGAATACAAACCGTAGTAGAACGGACGTGTTAACAAAAATAGCACTAGCTTAATAATAATAATAATAATAGTAATGATTAGGTATAATAATAATAATGATAATAATAATAATAATAATCATCATGCAGTAGTAGTAGTAGTAGTAGTAGTAGTAGTAGTAGTAGTAGTAGTGAATGAGAGTGGTCGGACGATTTGAGTTTTATCATCGGTTAAAACGCAAATACTCGAGTAAATGTTATGTGGCCAGACCTTCGGTGCGGTTCTGGGAGATGTGGTTGGCGTGGGCGATGGGCGACGACCGAGGGGACTGCGGCGCGCAGTTGTTGAGCTGATGGTCGTCGGGCGACGACTTGATGTTGACCGCGGACTGCCGGTCGTAGTGCAGGTCCCACAGCGGCGGCGTTCGTATGTGATGCGACGGCGGCGACGGCATCTGCTTGTTGTCGGCCGCCGTGCCGCCGGGCTCCGGTTTCATCATGTCGCCGCCGGGGAACGAGCCGCCACCGCCGCCGAAGTTGCCGAACCCGCTCAGGATGCGGTTGTTCACGTTGCTGTTCACGTTCTGGATCACCGATATCTCGTTGATCTGGAAAGAAACCGAAAACGGCCGCGTGACGATCAACAAGTTCTGCGAAACCGCAGGCGGGAAACGGTGTTCGTGCCGATAACGATAACGGAACGTGACGGATAAAAGCAGGGCCGTAGCAAAGAGGGGGGGCGGTGGATAAACGTGCCCACGTCCCGGGTGCAATTCGTGGGAGGGCGCGAAAATGAAAAATTTCGATTTTTGTACAGCAGGAGTTCGATGGACGTCAAATAAAAGTAACCAACACTTACACGATTATAAGGAAAAACCATTATTTATATTGCGTTTATAAAAAATATTGAGTTTTTTTTTTTTTTTTTTTTACTAAGTAAAATACTTAAGGAAGCATTTAGAAATTTCGTCCCGGGCGCAATGTTTGGCGGCTACGGCCCTGGATAAAAGCACCGCCCGCAAAAACTGCTACTACGAAACTTTGACGGGGCGCGCGAGAAAAAAATGATTTTGAGTGTCGCACGGATAAACGTAATGATATTGTGTGCGTGACGGGGGAAAATTCAAAAACAAAGAGGCGCTAAACTTGGACATTCGATCGGAAATCGCGTAAAATACTCGGTACAAAAGTTTCGCCGTCGAGGTTTGAAGAAGGTTCGAGATTTTTGTGGAAAACGAAGTCAATACTCGACGATGGTAAAAGTCGATATTTACAAAATAAGTTTTCGCGGTCCGAATGAATTTCATAGAAAATATGAGCTGAGAATTTTCTAAGCGTCTAATAGCTATTCCCTAATTAATTATTGTTAACGATGAGGTACACACCTTTTGTTGGTGAATCCCGTTTAAAAACGGACTGGGCAAAAACGGATGGTAATAGATTTCAGGTCTCCGTTGAAGGAAGTCCGAGTCTTTTACGGTGTTGGCGATCTGCAACGGCGGTAGCTCCAGCGACATCCTTCGCCCTCTTCTGGACGTGCCGTTTGTCCACATGTGCGTTCCCATGTGCACCTGTACAAACGTTCGCAACAAAAAGTGTTAAAACGCGCCCGTGCACTACGCCAACTGTTGCGGTAATTGTTCAATTTCACTTGCCTTAAGGTTGCCTTTTGTCGTGAACGCCTTTAGACACACCGTGCAGCGAAAAGGCTTGTCGCCCGTGTGGGTCCTCATGTGGATCTGTAGCGCGGAGGACGACGAAAAATTCTTGTTGCACACGTGACACAAGTGTTTCGGTGAACCTACGAGAAAAATTGACGGAATAAGATAACGAAAAACAGTTAGTACAGTGTATGTTTTCAAACGAAACTGCGAATTCAGTATGACTGCGCGTGATTTTTTTCTATTATTATTATTATCGCCCACGGACGCGCAACATAATCTGCACTCGCGTTAAAAGGATGTGGTGAAAAAAATTAAAAGTAAACGGTCATTCTTATTTCCGATGGGCGTCACATGAGATGATTCGAAGAATTTGAGTACCAACGGACGGTCGAGGAACTCTATATATTGTTTACGATACATATTGTGATATTTTGCGAATCGCGATGGAAAAAAATAACGCTTTATTTAAGACGGAGAAAACAAATCGATCATTCTCATGATTTTATTTACTCTTATGTAGAATTCACGCTTTTTTTTCTGACGCCAGTTTATTGAAATAATGTTATTCTACAGCGAATTCTGTCCTGCAACTTTGGCGACTGCAATTACGCACCGTTGCGGACGGTTTCCGCTCGTTTATATGGTTCAAGTCACAATGTATCGATAAACTCAATTTGAAACTTTAACAGTATCAAGTGAATCTATTCGCAACAATACTAGTTAAACATAAGAAATGCCGCGGTAAAATTGTTAGGCGAAGAGAAAAAAAAATCTTGATTTTTCGACAACTGGACTCCGGTCGAAAATTAATCGGTAAAGTGATTTTTTTTCGCAACCTAATAACAACTTTACAGCACCGGCCCGGGGCCCGTGCTCGACACGTTTAAGCGACCACGAGAACTAAGCGTTTCCCACTTTACGTCGACACCAATATGTCTAAAACGTCGACAACTCACTCGGCTGCCTCTTGGGCAAGGGCAGGCCCACGTCCGGATCGGGCAGCGAACGTTTGGGCGACGAAGACGAAGACGACGACGACGGTCCCTCGCCGGCCGCTGCGGACGATTTCCTGGAACCGCCGCTGACCGCATATAGTTGTCCAACGGTCGGCACTGTCAGTGTGACCGGTTGCTGTTGCGGCGGTGGCGGTGGTGGTGGAGGAGGCGGCGGCGGAGGCGGTGGGACCGCCAGTTTGGCCGAATGATGCGCGGACAGGTTGGTGGCGGCTGGCGGTGGCTGCGGTGGTGACGGCGAGGACAGGTCGGTGGCCGACTGGGCCGCTGTGCCGGTGGTGCTGGTAGACGCGTTCACCGAGACGGTGGTGACGGCAGCGGTGGACGCGGTGGCCGCGTTGGTACCGCCACCGGTTTGCTGCTGAACCGACGACGACGACGACGACGACGACGGCGGCAGTGGCAGGGACCGCGACGCTCCGCCGGCACCGGTTCCCGTGGGTGACGTGGCCGCGGCCGCGGCGTTACCGGCGGCCGCGGTCAGAAGCATCATCTGCTGCTGGTAATGGTGTAGATGGTGTTGCGCGGCGGCGTCCCGGCTCTCGGAACTCGCGTTGCTGGCCGTGTCATCGTGTCCGCAGCTCGTCGAGTTGTTCCCGTCGAACATGTGGCTCTGCGACGAGCTGCCACCGCCCGCGCCCGACGACATGTCTCGCGTCTTATGCGTAAGCATGTGCTGTTTCATATTACCCTGCAACACGTGCAGAATACAAACTGAAAGTCTTTGATCGGAAACCCAGTTGGTGGTGGTGATAGGGGGATAAGGGGTAAGGTAGATTATCACGCGGCGGGGACGGGGACGGTTGCCAGGGACGTTTCCAGAGGCGTTCGCGTCAACCGCTTCGCGCGATATTGTTTTCGAGCGCGACCGCAGGACGCTCTAGGGGAGACAATACCGTATTGAACTCTGAACGTGATCCGTCGTGTACGCGTTTAACCTCACGATCCTAATCGCATATAGGACTGATGTCACCTTGCGACACTTAAGCTTGTACGATTTTCAACTACTCTTATTTTTTACAACGTTTTCGATTGCGTTAAACAGAAACTAATAGTTTTTATGGAGAAATACGTATATTGATTGTTATTATACTAATTACGTCGATTATTTTATTTCCTTTTCTTATCGGACCCAGATGGACAATGTGCGGTTCATGATTCCCGCTGTAGGTTCTCTACGATTCTCTTAAATCATAGAAATCGAAACAGATGTGTTGAAAATATTTAAATCATCATGTTATTTTTGAGAAATATACTCTTGCTAATGGTTAATACAAGGCACTGGGAGTCAATTTTAATAAATACATTTTTTAAAATAATTACCGTTTCGCCAGTCGATGGACCGGCTACGCAACTAAACATACGCTACGTCCATTCAGAGTCGACGTTCGTGTAAATTATGCAGTATCCTTAGCCGTGTTTCGGATATAATATTATTATAATACGTTTATTTTAGCATGTGGACAAAGCTTAAGCACGTGCGCCGACTAGTGGGATCTACTGGAATCGTATGCACTTCGATGCAATTTTTGCAGTTCATAAAGTAAAGAGTGCACAACGAAATTGAAAAGTGTACGATAGTAAATTACTCGTAAAAGTTATAAAAACAGTTGCTTACATAATCGAATATCGTGAAATAACGCGGTTTGCATGAAATTCAGAAAAAAAATATACGAATATTTCTATGATAAATTTGAAGAAAACTTCTTGAAAATCTTTATCTGTTGATTAAGTTTCACCAGAGATGGAATTTTCACGCGCGGGGAAAATGTTAAAATTACGCTTTAGATAATAAATTAAGCATCAAATACCTTTCCTACAATTTCTTCAACTAACAATTAATCTTTTATTTTAATTTATCGATTAATTAAACAACTAGCATGCAATCGTAATTATTGAGTTTGAAACACAGTACCAGAGTTAATAATATCAAACTAGTAGTCGATAATAGATTGTACTGCAAAAATTACATATTTTTTAAATTTTACGCCCGGAGACGAATCTCCCGTCTCGTTCCCTTAGTTCTGTCTTTACGTCTCACGAGTAGCAAATGTTTATTTAAAACCGAATGCGGTACATGAAAAAACTAAACATTTTATGCCGTAAGAAACTAAGTTCACCGTACGCCCGTACCGTTCAGCGTGCAGGCAATACGGTTTGCGCGAGTGTAATTTGTGCACCGTTCGAGGCACCGTTTTTTTAGAAATGGTTTCGTCCTACAAGATCGTCGTGCGGTTTCGGCGTCATCTTACCCTCGTATATTATAATGGCTAGTTTTGGTCGTCGCGCCTTCTTTGTATTCCATCCCTGCTATCTATTTACCGACGCCGAAAAAATGCGTACAGACGAATACGTAGGACTGACCTTATAGTATCATTGTATTATTCATTCAACCCGAGTAAAAAACGAGTGTTCGACAAAACTTCGTCCGATTTAAAGAGAGAGAGAGAGAGAGAGAGAGAAAAAATGAAAATGAAAAATTAAAAAAAAAACAATCTCCCAAATGACCTGTGAACAGAAATGTTATAGACGAATCGATAAAACCCATCCGCGAAATAAGTGTATATGGGCGTGTAATAAGTACGTCGCGGTCACGGGTTACGGGGTGAATCGGTACGAGACGGACGTGAAAAAATAATATTACCGATCGTTGTCGTCGTAGGATATGAATATGAAACGTGCAGTCACATACACATACATTCCTATTTATATACATATTATAGATATGTGTATACACGAAACGAGAAATAAAAACAGAAATACGGTCAAAGGTAAACAGCGTGAATCCGGCCAAAAAAATCCAATCACGCATACACATCCGTAACATATTTTATTGTTTTCGATTTAAAAAAATTCCATTTCCGTGTATGATGACGATGATGGCAGTGACGGGTAACGTATAAGTTATAACTAAAAACCCCGTCATTTTGCTGCAATATCATGTGGAAATAATTTCCAGCGCTATAACACGTCGTATACACAACAATAACGAATACACGTCGAAATGGAAGTGGTACAACTCTTCGCAGAGTACGTTACTAAATGCGCATCCCAGCGAAACATATTAAAAAAAATAGATAGGTATTCGAGTGAGGCAAAAAAGAGAAAATTAGTATGGTGAAAAAAAGCAACATTATTTTACATGAGAAATAAAGGGAAAAAAAATACAAATTGCCGCAGATACGTCGTATCACGGAGAATATATAAGTGACTGTAGAAATTAATCCATGTCACTGCCGTTGAATTTTACTATACGTTTCTACGAATAAAGAAGTAAAAAAAAAAAAAAAGAAAAACGCAATGAATCGTAAAATAAATACTAATATGATCTGAAAAATGACGGATGTATTCAACGGTTTACAGTCGGAACGTTTCGGTGCTGAATATGTATACGGTGGTTTTGAATTCTCGCTATCATACACGCGCACCGTTGCGAATAATTTGTCATTGTACTCGTACTTTTGGATTTGAAATAAACGTAAATAATAAATTCTGATGATGATAAAATTAAATTAATTTACCTTGATTCAATATTCTAAAATACCACTTTTGTGCGATTGGTATGATTATTAAATGATTATATGATTTATTATTAATATGATTATTATTATTATGTATTATTATGTATTACACGTACTGAATCCAAATACAAATTTAGTCATGAATAAATTACTGAAATTTAAGAAAAATTTCTATTTTTAGTTTAAGAAGTTATCATACTAATTCCAAATTTTTTTTTTTGTATTTAACGAAAATTAATTTGTTCAATTTAATAACAATAATAATATACTCGTACTATAAATTTATTGATATTTGATATTTGGACTATGATACTTGTCTCAATAATAGTGAAACAAAAAAAATATAAATAAAAAACACACAAATGAACAAATAAAACAGACATTAATATGTCAACTAGAAATCGTAAAGTTTTCACGAAAATTTCATATTTTGGAACATAATTATTTATTTCAACTGTTTTTAACATTTATTTCAATACAGCTTCATAATTAATCATAATGTGTGATATGTTTATCTTTTTAAATAATTAATTATCAAAAACAGTATATCCATCCAAACATAGTTCATAAAATGAGCACATATTATAAATAAATAAAAGCTGAAGAACATTTTATTTTGTTTTTTTTTGTAAACGAAACAGGATAATTATTTATGGTCATATGCAATACTTGTAATGTTTCATTCTTTCGCAATATTTCACGTCACATTTACTAAAATATCAAAATTAATTACCTAATTTTATAACACTAAAATTGTTTTTTTTTTCTTTCTCAGTTTTCAACATAACAATATTATGTAAAACAAAACAAATGGGCACGTTAATTTAATAATTAGTAACAATTGTGTAATCAGTTTGGAAACAAATATAATCGCATTTGGGTATTATGTAATGTAAATGTAAGTAAAAATGATAGTGTTTTAAAACAATGAAAAATAAAGATTGTGTATATTTTCATTTGTCTTAATGAAATCGAATAAATTACGTCTAACACTTATTTACATCGGTTAGATAGTACAATTGTAGCGGTGGTAATTTGAATTTAAATTGTTATGAGCATTTTTATTTTTTTCAAATACAACCAACGAGTTCGGTATACTTATTTCTAAGGATGTAATAATGTTTTGAACCGTATAGTTACAATATGTTTATTTGTAGTGCACTCTCGACTAGAACAATTCGACAACATAAATAAAAAAATAGAAATGCGTGGAAAAAAAAAACCGCGAAGAAAACCGCAGAGAGAAATTTAAATAATGTTGAAATGTCTATAAAGAGTCTACTATATAGGTACTGCTGTGCGACAACACATCTGGCGACTATACAATGCTGTGCAACGAACGGTTTCGTATAATCGTAGTACGAAATTAATTTTAAGTGACAAATATTAATGGGCAGGAAGTGTAATCCGAGTTTATATTATTCGAGAATTTTTTAACGACAGCAACACTAATAATAATGATGAATAATATTAATAACAACAATGATGAATACGATCATTTTTTATCGGTTAAAACGATATTATATACGACTCGCTGTGACGATCGCGTACGTAAAATATTTCAGTATACTTTTTTTCCTATCTTCATAGTCCGATTACGTTAATGAACAGTATGGGTTCGATGGTCACATGTCGTGAGACGCGAAGGGTTCGTTGTGTGTAAGATGGCCGGTAAAGGGTAGTATGGATTATCGACCTATACGCTATACGGTAGTCGAGGGTAAATAAAATCGCTCATAAGCGAGTTCAGTGTTGATCGTACCTTTGTCGAGAAGCCCCGGTCGCACACGGTGCATTTGAACGGCCGTTCTTTGGTGTGACTTCTGTAGTGGATCTCTAGCGCGGAGTGGCACGCGAACGTTTTGAAACAGATGTTGCACGTGGTGTTTCCTCGGGCCGCTGAAAAAAAACGCAAACGCATCAGAAATGATTAATTTGCAAACGTGTTTTCAACTATAGTGTCTATAGTGTCACAAATAAACCCAAAAACAGAAAGTGGGTACAAGCGCACGCGTGTGTGTGTGTGGGAGGGGGAGGAAAAATAATATGGTAAAACACTCGAGGCCTTTAAGTGTATAGCGACACGGCACACGCGGGACGTCCGGTCGGCGCCCAGGGGAAAGGGCCGGGTTCGACGACGAAAAAAAAAACTACAACATAAATATTAATAATAATATCAAAATTAACACGTGTACCAATGCGTTTTGCGAAATTTTATTTCCGTTCGCTCGACGTAGTGTTTTCGCACCCGGGCGACGAAAGGAGAAAAAAATGAACATTCATAAAAAGAAACGAGTTTTTTTTTTATTATTATTATTATTTATTAAGACGTATTATAATTTATAATTAATTTTATATACTTACGCACTGGCACAGAATTCATTAGCTCGGTTCGAGTTGATGACATTATTAAAATATTATTTCCCACCGCTTAATAACTGTTCGACTGACCTCGAACGCAGCAAAAAACGTTTGTCATATTATTTATAGACGCTCGCGAATATCTATGATTCAACGTATGAAATCTGCTGTATCTGCCTTCCATCGTTTCGTTTTTAAAAGTATTTACCTACATCCCAACTGATGATGAACAGTTATTGTGTTTTTCGTAATAATTTAATTATGTTTTTATATTATTATGTTATCGGTGACTTGTCAACAGAAAAACAACAATAACGATTTTAAATTAAAACGAACTTTTGAAAAAACACGTAAATGGAACGTTATACACATGAAAATAATTGATCGACGATTATAATTACAGTTTTGTTTTAAAACGATGTTATGATAAAATATTTTCGACTAGAGTTCTGTATTAATAATTAAGACCGAGTCAGAGCTGTTACGTATACCTATTATATTAAATTATTTACCATCGGAAGAAATTCAAATGCACGATTTTGTTTTTAATTTATACAACATTTTACCATTAAATATATAATGATTTATGTTTCCAAAATGTAAAAAACACGTTAATTTACATCAGTCGCAGTCGGAAACGATCGTGAAATATTTGCGTGAAAAAAAATTCTCCCGCAAGATAACAAGAAGAATAATTATAATTTATGTTTTTAATCAAAGAGGGGAAAAATGTACACACACACACACACACACATATATGTATATATAAATACTTATTGTACATCGTTGGACGTGTAAAGGGATAATGAAAATAATAGTAACATTATATTATGGTGTTTTAAAAAAAGACATGTGACGCACATGTGGTTGCCGCTTATACGATAATAGCGCGATAAATAATGGCAACGGCATTTATAATTACTTCGATTCTCCACAAAAACGATAAAATAAAAATGTCCACATATACGAAAAAAAACAAAGACTTTCACGTCGTGCGCCGGGAATAATTTTCATTATCTTGATAAATGCCATAATAGTTGTCACGGGCAATGGATATAAATCGAGTAGAAAAAAATGTATTTTTCGTATATCACATAAACATATACCTATATACGTTTACAGGATATTGATGTATCCGAATTCACGATTCGTATTTGTTGCAAAACAAAAATCGAAACGCGATTGCCGAGAATTATAAAAGTAATAATACGTTTGTACACGTACATCATAGTTGGAAGTCTTAAACCCGTCTCCGTGAATACAATATAGTTTATTCGTTAGATCGGAGTGGTTGGCTTTCTATTTATACGTGCAAGTCGAACCGCGGTACATGAACGGGCGGCGTACTGTTTACGCTAAACCGCAGCGAGACATGTGTTCACGGGATTCTATTAACCACGCGATTAATATAATATTACGACGGTATTAGGCGAGTGTTGTCGGCAGTAGCCAGCCGTCGGATTATTTACGTTCGTGGTTCGTCCACGGCGTACACGTCGATATTTCAAAACGTTTAAACATTATTATTGCCATCGTCGGTGTGGTTACCGTTTCGTACGCCCCGAGCACAGTCGGCGAAAAATAAATGCTCGAGATTCTATTGATTTAGTCAACAAAGTGACGGTGCACGTCTAAATATAAAACCTAACGACGCGATGAACATTTCAACGTTTTAAATGTCAATGCATTTTACCAGACAATAATGCGATGATAATATAACGCGAGGAATTCAGGCGTGATGTATATGTGCGCGACGCGTTTTTCATGCGACCGGCGTGCTTGACGCGATGCCAAAAAGTGCGTGCAATTTATTCTCCGGGACGGAAAGAATAGTTATTTTACACGAATTAAATTGAATTCGGAAAAAAAAAAAAAAAGTAAATGTGTACGATCGAGTCTATTCATAACCGCGCGCGCGCGCGGGCAACACAATGGCACGTGACAATGGTACGCGACGGCGACGTTTTAAAATATATTATAACGGCCAGCGCCAATAATTATTATGCTGCAGAAAGGACGTACGCCGTAGCGGTCAGAAACGAAAACGTTTCGGGTCGGTCGTTTATTTGCAATTTTTTTCCCCTTTCGATTCCCATTCCTTTAGTATTCTTTAATGTTATCGGTCGATTGTGCCGCACTTACCGGATGGTCCGAAAGACGGAGGCCCGTGGCCCGGCAGCCCGGCCGCGGAAGTGGCTGATCCTGCGGCGGCCATGAGTCCGGTGAACGCTGGCGGTAGGTACGCGGACATGAGGTGGTTGGCGGCGGCAGAGGTCATCGCCGACTGTTTGGGAGTCAGGTCCAAGGCGCAGGGGGGCGAGTACCTGGTGTTGTTGAACGACATCGAAGCGGGCGAGCCGGGTCGGGAACCATGATGACGCGAAGACGACGAAGTCGGCCTGGGCGAGAACGATTCGTCCGATGTGATCAAGGGTGGACTGGACATCATAACTCTACCACCTGGAACAAAAAAATGACAGTTACCGTCTGTTGGTTCATTTTCGAACGTAAAAAAATGAAAAAATCAAGACTTGAAATCTCTTATAGGTGTATATTATATGATGCGCACACGATATAATGTTAGAATCCTACATAATGCGCTTAAAAATTTTCACGAAAATAAACAAATTTAGAGAAATATGGATTTCGTCCAACCGGACTACACATACTTTTGTTGGACAAGTTCTCCGGTTGATCTTGCAACCCGTGGTCGTTCATGGTGGGACTGTTCGTCCGCTCTTCGTCGCCGCTGTACTTGGTATCAACACTAAAGTCGTCCATATTGGCGTCCATATCGTGTTGACGGCCGTCCGCGTCGGCCGAGTCGATGTCCACGGCCATGTCGTCGATGTACTCGGCAGGGTCGTCCTTGTTGTGCCGAGGTATGCTGGAGTTGGACAGCGGTGACGGCGACGGAATGGACGATTCACGGGAGGAGCACGCGTTGGCCGGTTTGCTCAGGTTCTCGGGCTGCTCTTGTTCGCGCTTGAACTGGAAGAGGTGCAACGACGACGGCGAGTGATTGGCGCCCGACTGGTGAAGCTGCTGTTGGTGATGGTGGTGGTGATGGTTGGTCATCAGCAGCTGCTCGGTCGGCTGCTGTTGCTGCGACGGTATTTGGATGTTCGACGGAAGCGTGACGTTGTCGGCCGAAGAAGACTGATGCGGCTGGTGCTGCGGGTGGCCACCACCACCACCGCCGCCGCCGCCGCCGGGTCGGAACAAACTGGATAGCGTGCCGGAGAACATGGACGCAGGCGGACCGCTGGAGAACTGATGGGATAGCGGTGACCGTGAGGCGGCAGAGGAGTTGGGAGGCATCTGCGAGCCGCAGCTGTTCTGATGGTGCGGGCTCTGGTTCAAGTGGGGCGGGATCAAGGCCGGGAAGTCCCTGTCCAAGTGCTCGGGCACCGGCAGCGGGTTCATTTTGACGTTGGGGAACTTGGTGGTGTGTCGCTGGAAGTGTACCTTCAGGTTGCCTTTGGTGGTGAACCGACTACCGCACACGTTGCACTTGAACGGCCGTTCGCCGGTGTGCGAACGGATGTGTATCTGGAGCGCGGAGTCGCTGCCGAACACCTTGCCGCAGTACCGGCACCGGTGCTTGTAGAAGTTGTCGCCTCGGCTGCCACCGTTACCGCCGCCGGACTTGCCGTCGTACGGCGACAGGGAGCTGCCCTTGCCGCTGCCGCCGCCGCCACCGCCGGAACCTTTTCGGAACGACAGCTCGTCGGCGAGGTTATTGGCCAACAGGCCTTGGCTGGCCTTGTCCAGTACCTCTTGGGCACGGCGCTGCAGCATCTCCAGCGTGTTGGGCTCGCTGGGAGATGGTGGTGGATCCAGGTTGGTGATGATGGACGAGGCGAACGCGGACGACACGGAACACGACGGGATGGAATGATGATGAGTGACGATCGGTGACGAGGCGTATGGCGACGACGACGAGGACGACATCACGGACGTGGACGGTGGTGTGGTCACGGAGGACGCGGCCGCGTGGACGGTGGTCGGCGGCGGCGGTGGCACCGCGGCGCTCGAGGATAATGACGACGCCGCGGCCACTGTGGCCTGCACCGCAGCGGACGACGACGAGGACAGTGGTGATGGGGAGCAGGTGCCGGCGGCCACAGACTGACGCTGCTGCAGTTCGGGCAACATCATGGCCATCATGGTGGTCGGTGGCAGGGGAGGTGGCGGTGGAGGCGTTGGCGAACACGAAGACGACAGCGAAGGGGAGCGGCTGAGCTGCATGCACGGTGTCTGGGTGGTGCAGTCCCCAGTGGGCTGCATCAGGATCGGCACGGCCAGCGGCGGCGAGTGAGGCAAGCAGCCCTGCTGCTGCTGCTGCTGCTGTTGCATCTGGTGCAACAGTTCCGTGGCGCCGTTCCGCGATATGGCCAACAGCGACAGCGGTATGTCGTTGGGCAACGGTGTGGCCACACCGGTGGTCGTGGCCGCAGCCGCCGCAGCGGCCGCGGCGATCACGTCGTCGGTGCCGTCGCTGAGGAGCGGTGGCGACACGGACAACGTGCCGTCCCGGCTGCCGCCACCGCAACCGCGACTGATTTGCAACTGTTGTCGCAGCTGCTGGATCAGGCTGAGCTGCATCATTTGCTGGTGTTGCAACGTGAACAGCGTCGAGTTGACGATGGCCAGGTCCTGCAGCACGTTCGGGTTGCTGGCCGCACCGTTGTTGATGGCCATCGCGGTGGCCGCGAACTGGGCCACGGCCACCTTGGTGTTCTGCAACGCTTCCAGCGTCACGTGGTGGCCGGCGGCCGCGGCGGCTTGCTGATGCTGCTGCTGCTGGTGAACCGGTGTCTCGCCCGCGGCGGCCGCGGCCACGGCTGCTTGGTACGCAGCGAACGGAAATCCAGGGGGCACCATCGCGGCCGATTCGTCGCCGGTGACCATGTCATCGACGACTGCCTCTTGGCCGCCGCCACCGACGCCACCGTAGCGGCGGTTGTTGTTCTCGGCGTCCTGCCGCTGCCTCCTCTGTTCTTCGTGAGCTTTGTTGTTGTTAATGTTGTTGTTGTGGTTGTTGTTGTTGTTGTTGTTTCTGGCGTTCCTTAGGTCGGCCACGGTCAAAGATTGGAGGTTGGCCGCCGCGGCGACGTTGTAGTGCGCGTGACGGTAGTCGTCCACGTCCTCCTCTTCCTCGTCGTCCTCGTCCTCTTCGTCATCGTCATCGATGTCCTGGTCGATGTTCTGATGTTCAAAGTCTTCGGAGTTGGCCGCGTTGTTTGCCATGCCTGCGTGGAGCACGCACGTTTTGTTGTGCTCCGACAGTTCGGAATAGCTCAGGAACCCCATCGCGCACTGGCGACACGTGTTCGACAATTTTCTGGGCAACTTTTCGCCGTGTATAGGCCCGTTTTCTTCGTCGTCTTCATCGTCCGAAGTCATGGATATTGCACCTGTGAAAATAATACGAAAATCAATCGATCGTTTGAACACGTAACACAGAATATTATTATGCGAGTGCAGCGCGTTACGGTTGACTGCGAGGGTAACGCTCGCGAAATGTTTTGCGGACCCTTAAACGAACGCTCTTTATTCGATTTCATTCCCATCACCCGCTGATTGGAAAACGGGGAACAAAGATTTCGGGCGCAGTACTTAAATCGGATCGTAAATCATAAAACAATATGCACGACGGAAAAACATTTAAGCACAGACGGAGGCGAGCAATCAACGTGTTGTCCAATAAAATAATAAAAACTATAATTGATTAAACTTAACTAGCTCGCGCATTAGTTGTACCTACGTAACGTCACAACGATTGAATTTGTGCGTGACTTAAGTGACAACACTTTCATGGGCGCGCGCATGCACGCGTTGTGCTATTGAAGTAACCCCGTTGTTAAATGTAATTTTACTTTTTACGTTTGGTCGTATCACCGAACAAACTACGAACAAGATAAATAACGCTTAATATATCTCGTCGCATACGTCGCGCGTATACATAAATGTTCATAATACAATTATCGTCGCTAATTTAGGCATACACAAAAACTCCCCGGCACAGCGTTTCCACGGTAGATAAAAGTTTTAGTGAAACCCTGACGAAGTATATTCTTAATAGGATTACCCTCGCCCGTCGCCGCGGTACGACGATGTTGAACAACGTAATTATCCGTGTCATTCTCCCTAAAAGCTACGCGGCTTATCGGCCGCCGCAGGACTCCCGAGCAGGACCCAGTCGTATTCACCGGTAGAATATCGTTGTAATTAAAATCGTAAACGATGCGCACAAGCAAAACAAGTCACACGGCGGCGTGCACGTCTCGCGGTACATTTCGTCTGTACGACAATCCAATGGCCATTATCGAAGACAATCGGTGTAACAAATTAAAATCCTGAGATGTACAAAATTATAATAACGCATATTCAAAAACAACAATCGTATTTATTGGTCACCGAGCGAGGTTAGTTCGATTATACCGGTGGAGAGAAATGAGAAAAATTTAACACATCCGTGTTGATATTACGCTGAGTGAGTGAGAGATAGAGTTGGAGAGAGAACTAATTAAATAGTCGTTCGGTCGCTTGCATCTGTATAACGTTATTATACCGTCCGGCGGCCAGACTTCTGCGGATTACAGTTTTATCGAGTTCATATTTCGGATAAAATATGTAGGCAGGTAGTTCTTAAAAAAAAAAAAAAAAGAGAAAGAAGAAAAAAAATACTAATTTATTAATACCGCAGGAATGTCAATCGACGACGTTAGCCGTTGTCAAATAATGAGACATTTCCTGTAACGGCGACGAGTTCTAAGAGTGGGTACGCCGCGTCAATGTCCGCCGCGCCCGCCGTCCCATCGTAATTTGACGTGTACATTTTTCGAAGAAGCATATTTGCCATCGTTGTCATCGGAGTCGCGGCAGTAACATGACATGGCAATGAAAAAACTGGTTCGCGTCATACCACCAAAGACTAAAATCTATTAATTTCGTTTTTTCAATCACATTTTTTGAACGATCGTTTTTTTTTTTTTTTCCAAGAAAAATTCCGACAACAACCCTCGAAAAAAAAAAAAAAAACAACAGTATACACCGTGGGCACATTACAACGAGTACGAGTGTACCAGTAGTACCGGGTAGCAGCGGTAGCAGTACTAATAATACTAATAATAACAACGTTAATCTCCGTGATCTATGCTCTCGACCTCGCATGACGCTGAAGTGCGCACATCATTATTGTTATTATTATTTTTATACTGCAGTGACTCGGTCGTATCTACACGTTCCCATCACGACTCGTGCACAACGTATATTACTCGTACATACATATATGTATGTGATTAAACAAAGTCCCTTAATGTACGAGAATCGCGTCCGTGCAGACGTGTACGCCACCTGCTCGCGCGCACGTCGACGGTTATTTAATAACGTCCGAAACGAAAGGATTCCAGGAACTTTATGACGGTATCGGTTCGTAAGTCCATCTGAACGGTGTACGCTGATTGTTTGATAGAAATCCAGAAAGATACTGGGTCCGGGTGGCGTAATTTGCAAATGTGGGTACACTCAGAACCGGGTTGCTCTTATTGGTCCGATTAGAATTCCCGCTTTTTTTCACTATTTCGAATATCATATCGTTTCATCATGTCTAAAATATCGGGATTATACTTTAATACCAGCTTTTATTTATCACTTTCAAATTCAAATTCATCGTAAATTATGTTAAGTATATATATTTTAGATTCTGAGTGATGCGAAAGATCTTATGGTTTTACAATGATGTTTATTTTTTCTTTCTGTAAACACTTTTTCGTATAGAAATCCTGGTTCAAAAGTTACGCCAAGCAACTTTTTAGATTCGAAATTGGACTGATATGTTACTTTAAAAAGGTCATTTTTCCAAAATCTCAAAATAGTTTTTCCAGCAATCGAGAAAAACTAAGTAAAAAACGGTAAAATCGGTAAAAGTCCACCGTAAACGAGATTTCCACTGTTATGATTTTAGTTATTTACTATTACTTCATGATACGAAACGATATATTTGGAATAGTGATAAAAAAAAAGCGGGAATTAACATATAATCACGCAAGGTGGATTGATATCAATCCACCTTGTAACATAGAACATATAACAACATTATGTTCTATGTTTGTAATCACGATGTTTAGACATGATATGATATGATATTAAACGATAATATGACATTTGAAATGAAGTGAAAAAAAGCGGGAATTCAAATCGGACCAATCAGAGCAACCCGGTTCTGAGTGTACCTACATTTGCAAAATACGCGTCCGGGTGCAAGTCGTTCGTTTCGTCCGATCCCGTCATTTTATTTGAACCAACGACGAATCTAATATAAAATATTATAAAAACCGTCCCGCATCGAAAATCCCTAAATTTTATCGAATAAGTATTAGACGTTGGACTTGTTAACAGATAGTTTCAAAAGTGTAAAAGCGTTCGACGGGAAAAATTAGACTCGATTGCCGTTATTTCTTTTCGCGCCCGAAACACGGTTCCGAGATTGTCGAAAAGCGTTCCGTCCTGCTCGATCTGTTTGCCGATCGAGAAAACTGTAGACGAGTAGAAAATTGTTTACAGCACACGTTTACCATGCGAGATTTTTATCGCGGGAAAAAGCGACGTCGCGTTATTCCTCCGACGAGAATCCAAAGGAGAAGAAACGCGGTTGTTCCGCGCGCGAGAACTTTCCACGACGGTTTTCTCTCCGCCGAGCAACACCTCTCGATCGGTTCCGTGCAAAGCGGATGTACATCGATTCCGATCGCATTATAAACGCACTTGTGGCACGTCGTGGGTAACCCGTACACCCGAGACGGTCGGCGAAACGCGCTGCGGTATACGCGCGCGCGCGAACACCGATACCCGTACATTAATTATTATTACCGTTCGTCACGGTCGCACAGTCCTGCGCGTTTTTCTCCGATATAATAACAATACAATAATAATAATAATAATGATAAAAAGCAATAGAATTATACGCCGCCGCGGTGTCTAATGTCACCGGCTTTATGTTTTTACGCACTACTGTCGAACACGAAAAAATAGAAAAAAAAAAAAAATAAAAAATACAACCACTACCACCACCGCACTAACTACCTGACTCGCTTGTGTACGTATATTTACGTGTATATATATATGTATAGGCGCACAGGAAAAAGTATATCGCGTTTTGGTGTGAGTGCGCCGCGTATACGCCGCGCGCGCGCGGACCGGAAGTATTCGAATTAAAGCATAAAGCGTCCGCGTCTCGGATGAATAGACCCGCCACCCCCGCCACCGACCACAGCACCGCGACGACGGGTGGATGGGATGCGCGTCTAGTTTGTCAGTCACCGTCTCGACGACGGATAGCCATGCATCAATAAATATGACTGCTGAAGCTATACCTATGTACGTATAAATATAAATATTCCGCTGCAGTCGACCACGTATACACCGTCAACCGGTGTGTACAACAACAATAATAATAACGAGAGTTTAACCTCACCAATCTGTTATCGTGCACGCGGGGGTGGGAGCGCTAACCCCGTTTTTTTCGTCTATTCCCCGTTTCGTCCGTGCGCCGGTCGCCGGCCGCATATTTTACACTCGATGATTTGATTTGTTATGCACGGTTTTTCGAACGAATTGAAAACCCGACTGCCGGTGCCGAACTCTCGACCATGCCCTGTGCACACGTATACACTGCCATCAATTTGTTTGTACGCGGTGTGCACCGCGCGGAATAGGTGGGACGTACCGATAGGTGGTATATACACTAGCGGTCGTCGCGTGATGGATGGATGAATGCAATAATAACGCGCGAGCGGGGAAATTATAAATCGACGGAGACACACATTCACATCACTATAAACAAACCCTTCGCTGTAAGAATCGGTTTTTTTTTTTTTTTTTATATATATTCACTTAACTTCACCGGCACGGCGGTTATTAAACGACTCGTTGAGCATCGCTCGGAACAAACTGTACGAGCTGCCGTGTCGCGGACTGTGAGAACTGTAATTATTATCGTGACGTACCTCTCTCTATACATTTTACCATTCGATCGGTATAAATATTGCGTTCTACAATCTACGGCCGATGATTAATAACGAAATAATGCCTCTCGACTCGGTGTCCTGTACACCGGGTGGCTTAGTACGACCGAACGCGCGCGGTGCAATGCAGTCAGACACGTAGAAACGCGCACGTTTTATAACCCTTATTACGGTGAACATTTCTGGTGGAAATAAAAGTCTCGTAAATGCGGTGACAAGGGGTGGCAGGGGGCGAGGATGTAAAGAGAAGAGAAACGTACAAACAGGAGGGAAAAAACCCAAAACCGTAAAATTTATTTTCTCCTCTTTTAGTTTATATTTCAGGAAACATTCAGCAGATTTTGACATATTTATAAGACCTCGAAAATCGTGGGGAGATTTATATAGCA